GCAATAAAATACAGAAAAACATGAGCTAGCCAACATTTATGACAGAAGAACAATGTGGCTGGCAAAACCTGCAGCTGTGACAAACACACAGAGACATGGTTATCCTCTCAATTTTCCTTAAAATACTCCTGTGGGCTGCAATTCATTAGTTTAATAAAAGCAATGTTTGCTACATGGATCACCCACAAATAAATAAAAAATAAATTACAAATAAAGCTAGAATTCCTAACATTGTGCCCCAAAAGTCACTGCCTCTGAAAGCAGGTATTGTATTTTCTTGAGGCTAGGTTTGTGCTGCAAAATACTGTGTTGCAGCTTATTGAAAAACTATTAATATAGCCTGTCAGTTTTGGACATAAAACATCTGTTTTCAGAAACTAAAGCAGAAATGGAGACTGGATCAGGAAGTGAATAAAGAGTAATTTTCACTACATCAAGCAATCTAATCTCATTAAAAAGCACTTTCTCTTCTCATAATTCATGACACAGAATGCTAAAGTAAACATGATTTCTCCTTAGTGGAGAATATTTTAGGCTCTTTTTAAAACATGATGTAATCCAACCTTTTAATTTATAGTTTTAATATTCACAGAAACTGGTTTCTATTTCACATGTTGCCATGCCTTTTGCAATACAGTATATTTACTAAGTAGAAAGATACATACCCATAGAGGCATGTATCCATATGGCCTGGTTTTACTTCTACAGAGAACAGGAGCTGTATTCCCAATGGATGGGATTGGGAGACTTCTGCACCGCAGTGTTAGGGTAGATGGGCAGTTCTTAAGACAGTCTGCCTCTATCCTCTTTGGCAAATTATAAGTCAGTGTAAGCAAGCTCTCTCCATAACAACTGTCAGATCAACTTAATTTCCATTACTGCACCTTGGTGTGATCATTATGATTTGCAAAATTATGCCTGAATTTTCACTTTAAATAGTGGTATCAGATATGCCAAGTGCAGCTACTCTCCTAGAGATCATTTTTGTTTACTTTCCATATCAAAATAATTTTATTTAAACCAGAAAGCCAAACGGCCTCATTTGATTTATATCCAGGCATGCAAAACAGTGATTTCCATTTCAACACTGGTTTATGGGTATGAACAACAGGTCAGACATGCTGTTGCTTCTCTGTCAGACACATTAATGAGCCAGGAAGGCCTCCTGACTCCAGCTCTGTGGTGGGAATTAACATGCAGCCCCAGAGACATTTCACCAGCAGGCACAGCCAAAATGCATTTTACTTTGGCTGGCTTTTCCCAGACCCCTACACACTTCTGCTCCCGTGGCTGTGGGGGTGAAAGCATACAATCTAGTTACGTCCAACTACTTTAGGCTGGCATTAATTCTTCCCAAGGAGCTCTCTGCAAATTTCTT